GGCTCCAGGCTCCGAGCTGTCAGCACAGAGCCTGACGTGGGGCTCGAACCCACAGACCGTGAGATCATGACCCGAGCCGAAGTCGGACGCTCAACCGACCGAGCCCCCCAGGAGCCCCTGTTCTCATTTTCTATCCGTGTTTCCAATCACCTCTCCAGCCTAGGAACCAAATGACCACTGCAAACTGTTACCCTGTCTTCTTTTGTATGTTTTCCTTTTAGAAAGAACAAAGAGAATGTGTTGTGACCATGGAGAACGTCGGGGAGACAGGCCTCCGGTGACCCGCAGCTGTTATTCATGCCCCGTGTGGCTCCCACCTGCACCTCCTGGAGACTGGTAACCGGCAGGGCGTTGGGAACGTGACAGAGTGTGACTTCCGAGGCCAGGTCACGAGACACAGAGGCTCTGCCTTGCTCACTGTTGGGTGACTCAACTGGGAAAAGGCAGCCACCATATCGTGCGGACGCTCGCCACCCCTCAAAGCTCCCCACCCTCAGATCCTGCAGCCCCGGGACGGTGTTCGGATGATGTTAACCTCATGAGAGACCCCAAGCCAGAAGCCCCAGCTGAGTGGCTTCTAAGTTCCTGACCCAAAGAAAGCGTAAGATAGTATTTACTGTTGTTTCAGCTGGGGGATAAGGTTATGCATCAACAGCCAACTCAAGCAACAGGATAAAGGTGTTTCACCAAAGACCTGGAAAGCCAGCGTCCCAGACACCTGCGGCAGAAAGGACAGGGTGGGGGGCATTCCCTACTTAAAACCCCTCAAGTCAGAGCGGACTCAAGCTCAGAACGCTCTTTGTCCGCTGGCTCGGTTGTGGTCTTGCTGGGATGGATGCACGTCGTTAGCCAAGGCGACGTTTGTCCTCCTAACGCAATCGTCACTCCTCCTGCCTTTTACACCCTGTGTCCCTGAACCCTCGAATGTCTTCATCTTGAAAGTGTCAGCACTGAAATCTTATCGTCTCAATGCTTCCTGAGGTATTTGTGGCGTTTTAACCAAAGAGTGGATGTCGCTGGTCCCCATCAACCCTAAGTCAGCTTCACTTAGAGGAAGAGTGGAAGCATCACGCCATGGCCCCTGGGGTGGACCAAGGATGGAGGTCCACGGCCTTCGCCCCCCGTGCCCCCCTTGTCATTCCTATCGTTATTCCCATCAGCTCCTCGAGGGGCCCTTCACTGGGATGAGAGAATGGGGTACAGGGCGGGACATCACGAGGGGAGAGGTGATGCTTCTCCAGCCTTCGAGGGAGCCCAATCCCGCCTCTTAGCCCAGCCAGGATCCAAGGGGATCCTCTAGATAACGATCAAGGTTGACTATTCCCTCGACCTACTCCAGGACACGAAGAGTCTGTTCTTGCAGACATGCTCATGGCCAGGTACAAGACGTAGTCCTCTCCCCACCCCAGACTCCCAGGGACCACGGAGGTTTTCCCTGGTGCCACCCAAGCCGCAATGCTTTCCAAAGCACAGGCTCTTCTCCTGGGCCCAAGCATTCCAGGGCCTGCCCACTCACAATGACACGGTGGCTCTGCCCTGCTGTATGTAGGCTCTACGGCCACTCAACTGGCCGCCTTCCACGTCTGACCCCAGACACTCCGGATTTGGGGACCTTATCCTGCTCCACTTTGACTGGATGAGGGAAGCTGAGACCAGTGCCCATTCGTCCGTGTGTTTCTCAGGACCACCCAACTCCGGTCTCCCTGCTGTTCACGTGGGATGCGCACCATCCCAGGCTTCAAGGTCTTCGCGCAAATCTTTTCTGCCACCACCCACTGCTGCCCCACCAGGCCTGGGTATTTATTGCATTTGGCATTCAAGTTCCCTAGCAATTAGGTCACAACATAAGCTCCAGGGTAGACCACCCAGACACACAGACCCCAGCCGCGGCTGATGGAGAGGTCTCAGAGCTCCATGCGGCTGATATGAGCTAACTGCCTTCACCAGGCCAGGTGGTTTTTCTGGAAGGTTCCAGACTCTGCTCTCCTTCACAGGGGTTGATGGACAGCAGAGACCGTCACCAGCCTCCGGTTCTAAAACACATTGCGACAGAAACTATTCCTGGTCTTGCCCCACATGCTTGCATAGAATACCCTTTGGGTGTGCCACGTCCCTGCCTCCCCTGCGCAGGAAACCTCTCTAGTCCTGGGGACTCTAGACCGCCACCCCAGGGACTGGAACTCTCAAGCAGAGGGACCCTGATCTTCCCCGGTCTGGCTTTCCCAGTCAGTACCAGCAAGACGGAGACACATCATTTGCATAAGCTCTCATCGTTTGCAAGGGGGTTCACACATACATTTCTGTCACTTTCAACAAGATTTACTGCAAGACTTTACATGTTGGCAATCTGAATGACCTACTTTGTGGCCAAACAACAGAATCTCCTGGGGCTGTTAAAAGAGTTTTCTTCCTTAATCTCCACTGGACACTACCACCCATAACCCTGGGACACCTTCCCCACAATCTACTGGTAACTGACGCTCAAAAGGAGGGATCCTAAATCTGTATGGATGGGAGTGACGCAGGTGTTCAACAGCACAATCCTTGGGCCCTATCTGGTTGGGCCCACTGAAGAAAACTGGTCTTAGAGTTCTAAAATGTTGTAATCAATATCAAGAGTGTTTATTCGGGGCGCCTGGGTGGCTCAGTTGGTTTAAGCATTCAACTTTGGGTCAGGTCATGATCTCACAGCTTTTGGGTTCGAGCCCCGCATCGGGCGCTGTGCTGACAGCTTAGAGCCTGGAGCCTGCTTCGGATTCTGTCTCTCTCTCTCACTCTGCCCCCCCCCCCCTTATGCGCGCTCTCTTTCTCTCTCTCAAGAATAAACATTAATTAAAAAGGGGGGGGCCTGGTTTCTTTTCACTTTTGAGAGAGAGAGCGAGCATGCAAATGGGGGAGAGAGGCAGGGAGTGGGGACAGAGAGGCGGGGGGTGGGGAAAGAGAGACATGGAGAGAGAGAAACAGAGAGAGAGAGAGAGAGAGAGAGAGAGAATCTCAAGCAGACTCCACACTCAGGTTGGAGCCCAACACAGGGCTCGATCCCACGACCCTGGGATCATGACCTGAGCTGAAATTAAGAGTCAGACGCTTAACCAACGGAGCCACCCGGGCACCCCAGGACGCTGATTTCTTCTAAGCGTCTCTGGATGCATCATTCCAGGCCAATTCCTTTAGGTCATCAATAAAATATTCAGTATTGTTTGATTTTAGTTTGCAGCTACAAGTAACAGAATATGCAATTCAAACTAGCCTTGTAAAGAGGAAGTTCTGTTTTCACAGAAAATAGGGAAGAAGTCCTAGTCCCAGGGTCAGCTGTATCAAGCACTCGTCAGCCTCATCTGCGAGGCAAGCTCATCATGTCCGTCTTCCACCTCGGTGGCTTGCTGAGGTCACACGTGGGAGGCCCACAACACGGGCCAAGTGTGGAAGGTCCTCTCTGACACCGGGTTGGAGGCACAGGCGTGATCAGGAAACACACGTTACAGGAGGAGCAGGGCACAGAGGGCGTCAACGGGAGTGACAGCCTTCCCATGCAGGGTCCCGTCTGGTGTCTTCTGCCCAGGTCACGCACCGTACCATCAAGAGGCATCAGCCCTGGGTGGCTACTGAGCCTTGAAACCTGGCCAGTCCGTGCTGAGACGAGCCGTGTTATGAAACAAGATGCTGGATTCTGAAGGTTCTGTTCCCCCCAGAAATGTTTCTCTGACGGCGTTTTCTATCGATAACACATTGAAATGGTATTTTGGATACGTTGCATTAAGTAAAATATTAACTTCGCCTGTTCTGTTTGTTTGACTACTAGATTTAAATGCTATTGGGTTTTTTGGGGGGACTTGTCTAGGAGATCGAGACACCTGTCCTCCACCTTAGAAGGACTTCCATCCAGGGACCCTCTAGAGCGTTCTCTGAGGTGTGAGCCTTGAATGGCTGCATGGGGCACGGCCCTGCCACCCTGTGGACACAGCCCATACTGCAGCCCGCCTGCTGGGTTCATTAATTCTGCAAATACCCACCACTCCGATGGGTTGAAGCTGTGCAGCACCACGTAAGGCCGTACATGGGAGAAGAGATCTGAAATATTTGCTGCCCTTCGGCATCCAGCTTTACGATCCATTTAGCTCTGTTTTTGTGCGGGGCATAAGCGGGGGGATCAAGGTTCGGGGTTTTCTACCTGCAGGTCCACTGGCTGAAAGGGGGAGTCCTTCCCCCAGCGACGTGTAGTGACATCTTGGGAGCGGATGCAGGTGTCTCCTGTGCGTGGGTCTGTTTCCGGACTTCTGTGTCTTTTGCCCCACCAGTGAATTTGTCCATCCCTCTGCCCAAGCCACCCTTGCTTCATGACTGCAGCTTTCTAAGTCTTGGCGACTAACTGCTTGTCCCCCAAATTTCTGCTCAAGGCTGCCTCGGCTGTCCTAGCTTCTTTGCATTGTTATATAAATTTTAGAATCATCAAGTCAGTTTCTACCGAAAAAAAAAAAAAAAGGCTGCTGGAATTTTAGCTGGGAATGCATCGCGTCTGTCGATCCGCCGGGGGGAGAAGCGGCGCCTTCCCAGCCTCTCCGCTCCGTGAACGCGCTACGTGTCCCTCCCTCGCCGGTTCTTTGTAGAGCAGCCGTATGTCTTTGTCCGGCTTTTTTCCCAGGTGCGTAATGTTTTCGACGCTCTTATCAATAACCATCTTTCAAACATGCGACTATTTCTGGTCCCAACTACTTAACCACCAGTAGATAGAGACAGGTAAGAGACCCGGACGCCTCACCGGGGAGCTCGGATGGCAGACACACGTGTCGAGAGCCGCTTGCTCGTCAGGAGGCAAGAAAGAGCAAAGTAAACCCGCGACCGGACGTCCACGTGAAGGCGGCACACAAATGTCCTCGGCAGTTTTATGAACAGCCCCAAGCTGGGGCCAACCCCAGAGCAAACCAGATGAACACGCGGACGCACCCACAGAAGGGAACACAACGCATGGACGCCCCTCAAAATAGCCACCCGCCTGGCACCCGCCCGCCCGGATCACCTCAACACCCCCAGTCAGAGGGGGGCCCCTGGACAGCCCTCGGAGGCTGAGAGGCCGGTCTGTTCTGGCCAGCCCTGCTTCAGCGGCCACATACCTGGGGCGGGGGAAGGGCAGGGTCGGCGGGGACGGGGTCAAGGGCAGAACTCTGGGTTACGGGTGACAGAGGGCTGCTCAAACTGGCTGAAGCAGGAAAGGGAACTCACTGGCTCAGCGCGAAGCTGGAGCGGGCACCCAGGCATCGTGTGGGGCAGGCTGTGGTCTCCCCCGGGGCCTCCCGGCCTCACTCGTCCAGCGGCTCCATGCGGCCCACAGCCTGTGACCCCAGTCTCAAGTCTGGGGCGGGGGACACAGAATTTCTCCTCCCGGTTTCAACAGAAGTCACGAGGGCACCAGCACCGGCCCAGTGATGCTATTTGTCACGGTGAACTGCACTCTGGCCCGAGGGCTGGGCAGTGCCTTACCCTGACCTGGCGCCCGTGGGCCCCTCTGGGATTAAGCAGAGCCCCACCCCGTCTCACATGCTGCGGGGCCGGCAGGAAAGCTCACGGGAAGTTCGGGGTGTGTGAGCAGCCAAGGTCAGCTTGCTTTCCCAGGTCACACGGGCTCCCACCTGGCCCAGCCTGTGCCCCAAGTGCACCTGGGGCCCCACTCATGCAACAGTGCAGCCCCGAGATCCAGCCCGGGATCCACCTGTGGGTTCCCAGACAAGCAAGCCGTGCTCACCAGCGAGGCCGCGCCGGGCCATCTCTCACCGGGCTGCTGGCTCCGGCTGGTGCTGCTGGATGGGGATGCCCAGGAAGGTGTGGACCCCGACCCCGGTCCTGAGACGCCCCACCTGCAATAGCCCCCAGGGGAGGGCGAGTCAAGATGGCTGCTCCAGCCCACCAACCAGAAGGATCCAACGGCTCTCTCTCCCCAGCGTCCCGAACGGACCTCGAGAGCAGGTGCGGGCGCACAAAGCCAGCGGCCCTCAGCCAGCGGGCGGCAGGCAGCACCGAGTGGGCCCCGTGTGCCAACCCTTCATCTGCCCACCCGGGGACCCCCGAGGCCTGGGCATCCTCCCTCCCTGGCCCCTGACTGCCCAGCACGCCGCTGGGGTGCCGGCACCCCACCTGGACTTTGCACAGGGACCAGGTAGCGGCCATCTGGGGTCTCTGTGCAGGAAAGAGAGCCCCAGCCCCCAAACGTGACTACCACTGGCCAGAGGCCCCTGAAGCAAGCCCTGCTCATCTGTGTTGGTGTCTTTGCGCCTCCTTGGGCCCCAGATGGTTTAAGAGTAAGCAGCAGCAGCCTCACATGGGTCTCACCCCCTCCCTCCTAGCAGAGCCCTCACACGCCAGGGGCACACGAGCTTCGGGCCCTCGTCCCCGCACAGAGGTGGGAGCAGGAAGCGAGCCGGGTGTGCATAAGGGCGGATGCCACAGTCCAGGCCACAGCCGCCCAGCCCGGGCCTGCTGAGGATGGGCGGGCAAGGGGGCCCCACAGACACAGCCGCCTGGTTCCCCACTCCCCTGACCGTTCCCTCTGCAAGGGGCAAAGGACTGGTGGGGACCACTCAGGAGCAGGCGGCAGGGCTCCCACAGAGCTCAGAGACCAGGGAAGCAAACACGGGATGGCCCAGACCAAGTGAAGGCGGGATACGTACCCGTCCTGCTCAGGAACCCCTTCCGAATTCCCACTGCCACCAGAAAGCATGACCTAAGGCGTTCTGAACAATTACCAGAGGCCCCAGGAAGGCCCCCGGCCATTACCGAGACTTGGCTGCGTTGCCACCAGCCAGACGGGGCTGGGCCAAGAGGGCCACACATATGCCTTACTCAAGGTCACACGGACCAGAAGGTCACAGCCTGGCTTCCAGCAACTGTGCCCGCTAATCAGAAACTGTCACATCACAAATCCCTGAGTGTGTCCAAGGGGTGGGGACAGGAGCTCTGCCCAGTAGGCTGGCTCAGGGGCCGGAGGGTGGGCCGCGGCTCGCTGCATGCTCCAGCCACCCCCCTGCATGGGCACAGGCGGGCGGGCGGTCTTGGCCTCGCGGCTTCGAGGAAGGGCTGAGCCTGGTCCTACGTGGGCTGGAGAGCAGTATGGCCACACCCGTGCCGCGGGTCTCCTCCGCAGGCCTGTCCCCGCACGCTCTGTGACAGCTCGACCAGCTCCCAGAGACCCACACCCATCACCATCCAGAACACTTCACGCAGAGCAGCTGTCCCCGGCCCGGGGGCTGATCACAACCACATCTAGGGCTTACGGAGCGCCGTAAGTGCTCCATCCACCTGTGACAGCCTGCTCTTCTGTGGCAGGAGGGACAGAGTCAGGGACCAGGCCGACAGTCTCGCTCTTCTCTCTCTTTTTTTTTTTTCTTTTTAATGGCTGCATTTCAAAGAACCATTTTTCACTCAGAAAACTTCCCGGGAAGGGATGGGTTAGTGCAACAAAGTGGCGGGCTCGACTGCTCAGAGTTCTCTAGGCACCTTGAGAAGACCTCGCCAGCCCGGGCCGGCCACCGAGGGCGGCCTGTGGAGACCGGATGCGGGGAACGAACAGGGAGGGCGAACGGCGCCTCTCCTCGCCCCACCCCCGCCCCCACCCTGAGCAGCAAGCACCCCATTTCCCGGGCGGCGGGAGCTGGGGCGGGGCTGAGCCCGCGGCCTGGGGCCCTCGGAGCCCCGGCGTGTCAGCAGGCCGGCGGCTCGCTGCTGTCCACCTGCAGCCCTTTGCTCAGGAGGAAGGCGTCCTGCTTGGGGTCTCGGCCCAGGAAGAGCTTCAGCATGACGCTGGCGTCCTGGGAGCCGCCAGGTCTCAGGATGCAGCTCCTGTAGTCCATGCCGACCTGCTGGGAGTAGACCCAGATCAGCCCTCGCACATCCCCTCCCCTCCCCTCTCCCAGCCACAAGCGGGCTTGCGGGAGCCTGAATCAGCACCAGAGAGAACGCGTGGGCACGAGCGCACGTGCATTTGTGGGCACGTGTGTGTGACTGTGCGCGAGCACACGTGTGCAGGAAGCCCGTCCTCAGAAACTCCTCGGGGCCCTTCATCTGCACAGGGAGTGAGGCCCAGGCCAAGCCCTACAACACGGGTGGTCAAGCCGCCATGGTGGCTAAACACAGGTCTGGAAAGCCGGCTGAGCACCCGGCCCCGGGAGGGTCTAGGGTGGCGGCCCCTCAGGGCCGAGCACCTGGCAAAGACCAGCAGGTGCCTCGGCTCTCCCAGCCTGGTCCTGGGCAGCGGGGAGCGGAGCTGAAAGGTCACCTGCTCCCTCCACGGGCAGGTGTGCCCCCGCCCCCCGCCCCAGTGAGCGGCCGGCCTTCCCTCACCTTGCCGTTCAGGACGCCCTCCTGCTTGAAGCGCGTGTGGAACATGTCCATGGAGTACACCTCGCTCCACAGGTAGCCGTAGTACTGGGCGTCATAGCCACCTGCCAGGTGGCCGAAGGTCGCAGGCATGTTGGTCCCTGGGACAGATGCGGTGCGGCTTTCACTGAGGCCCCAGGCATCCCCCGGGCCCCATGAGAGACGACCCCCACACACCCGCAAGGAGAACCGGCCCGACACTTCTAAAAAGCAGGAGCTGGACAACTTGGCCCGGGGAAATACATCTTTGCCCACTATCTGCTGACGCTCAACAGTTTATGCAAAAGGAGGGACGCTGGGTGGCTCAGTCGGATGAGCGTCCGACTCTTGATTTCGGCTCAAGTCACGATCCCAGGGTCATGGGATCGAGCCCTACGTTGGGCTCCGTGCTGAGCATGCAGCCTGCTCAGGACTCGCTCTTTCTCTCTCTTTCTGCACCTCCCCTGCGCACATGCGTTCTGTTCCTCTCTCTCTAAAATAAAAATAAAAAAGCTTTTTGAAGGAACTTTCTACACGCTATGGAATAAACCAACGCCACACACCCTACAGCAAAATGCCGATTATCTTCGATCATATTAATCCGAGCATTTGTGCTACTGACGGACGAGCATACGCGTTAATACTTTATCTACTATCTCCAGGGCGTGAAATCCCTGGTCCTTCCCGCACCTTTCCAGGCTTATTCCAAAGCGACATGTCGGAGGGCACAGGTGCCAGTGGCGATGGAGCAGCACGCGGCCTGAGCACTAGGAGGGACAGCAAGAAAGGGCAGAGCTGCCCACATGCACCCGCGGCCGGCCTGAAGCCGTGTGCTTCCTCCTGGGCCTCAGCCCAGCTCAGTAAATTGGCCTGACTCCCTTCAAACGTCACTAGATCCTACCGGGGCGCCTGGGTGGCTCAGTCGGTTAAGCGTCTGACTTCAGCTCAGGTCATGATCTCACAGTCTGTGAGTTCAAGCCCCACTTCGGGCTCTGTGCTGACAGCTCAGAGCCTGGAGACGGCTTTGGATTCTGTGTCTCCCTCTCTCTCTGGCCCTCCCCCGCTTACACTGTCTCTCTCAAAAAGGAATAAAAACATAAAAAAAAAAAAAAAAAAAAATCACTAGATCCTTCCAACTCGGGGAATGGCTGAGCCCCAACCCCCAAGGCGGGCCCAGCTCGCGAGCAGCTACCTGGTGTGGCTGGGACCCCAAGGATCTCCTGGCAGAGGCGGGCATATTCCTCAGCTGGGTCTGCAGACGTCTGGGTGTGCAGGGCCTGGTCCACCTTAGCCAGGACGATCTGGCGCAAGTTGAAGAGACCTGGCGGGTGGAAGGAGATGGGGAGGCTGGTTCTGTGCTCCTGACCAGGCGGTGGAGAAAACCCATGAGGGCACACGCCTGCCCTCACTGGGTGAGGCGTGAAGGACTCCCTCTCCCCCCAGAGGCCTGGGCAGGAAAGCGGCTCCCCCCGCGGGCACCTGTGTTGGCCTGCCGAGACTTGATGAGCTTGTCGAGCAGCTCCTGGGGGATGGTGTCGCCCGTCCTGTAGTGCTGGGACATCCTGAGCAGCGGCTCCTTCTCCCACACCCAGTTCTCCAGCATCTGTGAAGGTGCCTCCACGAAGTCCCGCTCCACGTGCGTCCCGCTGAACATGGCGAACTCCGCCTGCACGGGCAGACAGAGCTGCAGGAAGGTCTGGACCCTGCCCGATCCGCTCCTGCCCACTGGCCTTGCCTGGGCACACGTGCATGCAGTGCCCCCCTAACAAGCACACCAGGGCGAGCAGACAACAGCTGCGCGAGGCCCCAAAACCTGAGGCTCCTGCGGGGCTGTCAGCCCAGTACATGAGGAGGCAGGGAGCATGCCCACCCTTGAAGGCCACCTATGCTCCCTTCTTCCACCTATAAAGCCACTGCTCTCAAAAAGCCCTACGCTGCAAAAGGCATTGGCCCGGAAACGAAGGGATCTGGAAGGCAACATGGCAAGGCACCCGGTGTCGTCTCCACTTTTGTCTGAAATTTTCCTGAAAAACACGGCGCCTGGTCAAGTAGTGCTAGAACCTGGCTCCGGCAGCCCAATGAGCCACACGACCTTTGGCGAGTCCTTGCCCGGCCCAGAGTGAAGCAGGGCAACGGTGGGGGGCTGGGGGAGGCGCACGCTGCCCTTCTCACTGACACCTCTGCGACCTCACCTACTTGCTAGGCTTTTTTTTTTTCATATTTGCTTTTGAGAGAGAGAAGAGACCATATGCGAGTGGGGGGAGGGGCAGAGAGAGAGAGGAAGACACAGAATCTAAAGGAGGCTCCAGGATCTGAGCTGTCAGCCCAGCGCCCGACGCAGGGCTTGAACTCATGAACTGTACGATCGTGACCTGAGTTGAAGTCGGATGCTAAACCGAGCCACCCAGGCACCCCTACTTGCTACACTTTTCAACCCAAAACCAACACCTGCGGCACCCTGTGACCCTCTGACGCTCTGCCTTTGGGTTTCGGCTCTGACTGTAAACCAGTATCCTTTTCATCAACTACCAAGAGCCCCCCCCACCTTTTTATTTGCATTTTTGTTTTTGTAGGTGGTCTGCCTGAAACGGATCCCAATTGTCACGCCGAAGCACTGTCTGGTGTTCCTGAGCACAAGAAGGCCGTGATGTGCTGAGATAGCACACGGGTCAGAGGCCCTTCCTTCAGGCACGAGCTATAGCACCGTCGGCCGTGAGTTCAGTGTTACGGCAACGACGCAGGAAAGGTGTCTTTCAACAGAAACACGTGACGCGAGGTTACATATCGGTGGGTCGTGACCAGAGGCTCGCAGGGACCTGTGCGTTCCCCCAGGAGCGGTGCCTCAGTATCCGCGAACTCCGTGTTGGCGGCAACTTTACACAACTCTGAATGGTGGTAACGTGTGTCCGAAAAGGCCTGAAGGAAATGAGGCAGCCACGAAGAGTTCTAGTTTTGGGAAATAACCAGTAAGAGCACAGCGCAGAGGCAGGAAGAGGGCACGTGAGCAGAGCTGACAAGGAGACCAGGGTGCACGGGGCTAGTGCTGTGTAGACACTGGCTGTGCCCTGCGTGGCTGCTGTAGGTGAGGGCCGACCCCCAACCTCACACCACATACGACACCTTAACTCACAGTGGACGACAGACCAACACAAAGAGCTGAAACTGAAACTTCTAGAAAATTAGGAGAAACACTTAGCGTCTTGGGTTAGAAAATGATTTCTTCAACAAGACAAAAAGATGCAAAATGTGAAAGAGAAAAACACGACAGTCAACATCTGCTCAAAAGATACTTCTCAGCGCTCTACCCACGCACACACATGTCCCTCGGCCGCGAGGAGTGAGGCGCCCACACCCGCTGCCCGGCGTAAGGATCTCTGAACACACGACGCTCAGGGAGGGAACCAGACACAAGAAGCCAC